ACTCATCTATTTTCTGTAAGTTCACATTTGCCTATCGTGGGCATTCATGCAAACAGAATCATACACTTTGTGTGTGTGTCTAGCTTCTTTCACTTAGCTTAACATTTCAAGGCTTATCTATGTGGTAGCATGTATAGAACTTCATTTTATGGCCCAATAATAATTCATTACATATATTATATATATATATACACACACACACACACACACACACACACACACATATTACATTTTGGTTATTCTTTTTTTCTTATAAAAGATGAGTCAAGAATCAAAGGAACAAGATATTATTACAAAAGTACTAGGTAGATGATAAATTAGAAACTCAGTGGGTATGTGGACTAGCAGAGGGCTACAAAGAAAGAGAACCAGAGAAACAACGTCTCACCAAAGCTAAAATACTGGGCAATGATAAGCATATAAGTTGGGAAGGGGCTAATTCCAGTTAAAGTTTTGTAAATGTCTTGTATGTTTAAAAGAAAAGTAAAGATTCTGAGTAACTTTATACTGATTAAGTTAAATATGCATGTTAAAAATGTATATTAATCACTAAAAGAATAGCAAGAGAAGGTATAGTTTCTAAACAAGTTGGAGAAGAAAAATAAGATGCAAAGTAACCAAATAATTAAACATAACCAAACAATATAATACAGAGGGGTAAAAAGTAATAAAAAACAAATAAAGTTTTAAAAGTATGATACAAATAAATCAAAATGCATTATAATTAGATTAAATGTAACTATGTGGAACAATGGAAGCTCTTATAAACAGTAGTGGGAATGAAAATTGATAAAACTACTGTAGAAAACGATTTACCAGTCCAACAGTTATTTTGAGCACACACTATGAGCCAGCAACCATTTTTCTAGGAGCTGGAGAAGCAGAAGCAAACATTTGGCAACATCTCAAGTAAAGTTGGACGTAAACTCCCTGACTTCATAACATTTTAGTAATTAATTTTTTAAAGTATAGAAATGGTCAACTCAAAATTTAGAATATAGTTACCTCCTGGGGGAGAAGGAAGGAATATATGATCAAGAAGAAACACAGGCAATTTCAAAAGTTCTCCTTTGTAGCTGGGTGGTGGGTACATATGTTTATTAGCCTTTAAACTGTACATGTTAATATAACCATTTCTGTGTATACTTGATGTTTTCATCAGAAGATACAAAGACAATTTTATAAAATTAATCCAAGTAAAACACCTATCACAGAAGGTACTCAATATATGATTATTATATTAAGTAATGATAAAGTTGCAAAACTCAATTAACTACAATGTAAATTGATCTAGAGATAAATTTCACAATAGGTGAAAGTTTTGTTGAATGTAAAATATTCAAGATACAGCAATACTGAAGGTCAGTGAGAAAAGCTGATAAATTTAAATTGGAAGTAATTTATTTTTTATCAAAAAGTAGGTTCTAATAATTTATTGAATGTCATCTTTTAGCCTTAAAAATGCAAATGTATTAATTGGGCAATAACTGTCTTTAACATTTTCTGGTGTCCAAATGATGAGTTTAAGAAATGTCACTGCTGTACAACATTAGTCACATACTTCCCAACCTAATAACAAAGAACATCTCATTAACTATAATCAGACATTGGACATGCATTGCTCACTACAGCTTTTTTCAAATGTTACAGAAATGGCAAGAGGTAAAGTAAATACCAGCAAAATGGCATCTGTGTCCCAAAGCATCTTTCCCAGGTACAAAGATATAGATATTGACAGTAGAGAAGTGTCTTCAAAGCAACTAATAAGTTGTATCTCTATTTGCTCTTTATCATTCCTACTTATAAGTTTAATGTTAGGATCAAGTGAGACAGAAAAATACTTTGTGTCAAGTACTTTGGATCAAGTACTTACAAAAATACTTTGAAAAAATATCACTAAATAATTATGGTGAAATGATTTTGAAAATATCTGTATATAAAAATAATTCTCAGTGTATTCATGGAAAGAGGCAATCTCTTTCACACAATAAATTAAAAAATAACTAGTTCAGTGTTAGAAGTCACTTTCCAGGAGATTCTGATATAAAATATTCTACTTAGGAAAAATGAAAAGGATTTCACGAAGACAGTGCCACTCACACACACGTGGTAGCAGGTCCTCTCCTTCATCGAATTCTAACCCCTCCGCCCTCCTTAAAAACGGTACTGAGTAGGGTAATTAATTAGTAACCACATAATCACTCAACACCTTTTCCTTGTGAAATCTTATGACAGCACCAGTTTTGTAGACTCTATATGCAATATGTTTATAGAAGATAAAGAAACAGAGGTATAACTTTATTACATTTTAAATAGTCGATCACATTGTCTTTACCTATTAATGAATAGGAAATATACAGAAAATGTAATGGATAATAAAGTTGAATTTGTCTACAAAGTAGCAACTATAACAGAAGGACTTATTTCAAATTAAAGTGATACAGAGATTGTTATAACAACAATTGACTTTCCAAAAAGGGAAGAGCAGCCCAGGAGATATTTGGGTGGATAGACACTAATTTGGATTTTAGAAAAAAAATTATTAAGTGAAATAGTTTCAAACTCTGAAAACAAGGAATGTTGTACTAAATAGAGTCACTAAAAATATTTTGAATAAAAGCCAGGAAACTGAATTTACACAGAATGTTTCAAGGTTTACCTATGTTGTAGTATATATCAGAACTTCATTCAGTTTATGGCCCAATAGTAATTCATTTTATATCTGTATCTATATCTATCTATTTATCTATCTATCTATACACACACACATATACACACAAACATACACATACATGCCTACTGCACTTTGGTTATCCTTTTTTTAAGTTATAAAGATGAATCAAGAATAAAAGGAAGAAGATATTATTACAAAAGTACTAGGTAGATGATAACAAATTAGAAACTCAGTGGGTATGTGGACTAGCAGAGGGCTACAAAGAAAGAGAACCAGAGAAACAACGTCTCACCAAAGCTAAAATACTGGGCCATGATAAGCATATAAGTTAGGAAGGGGCTGATCAGAGTTCAGGTATTGTAAGCTCAGGTCAAGTTTTGTAAATGTCTTGTATGTTTAAAAGAAAGGTAAAGATTCTGAGTAACTTCATACTGACTAGGTTAAATATGCATGTTAAAAATGGATGTTAATCACTAAAAGAATAGCAAGAGAAGGTATAATTTCTAAACGAGTTAGAGAAGAAAAATAAAACACAAAGTACCCAAATAATTACTTCTTTTGCTGTAAAACTGCTATTTTATTTTTCCACAAAAGTAATCAGTTTGCTTAGGCTAAAAGGAAAACCACAACTGGAATTCTGATTCAGTAATCAAGGAACTCATACTTCTCAGAATCAATGCAAATTTGGATGCTTTTCATATCTCTAAGAAAGTTATAAATGTAAGAAATACATATCACGCACTAGAAAATTTAAACCACATAAAAGAAAATGAAGGCTGCCACACAGTCTTCAGCTGGATAATTTTCTACTTATCCAGATGAATGGTCAGCAATCTTGAATGTCCAGAAATGTATATTAAACCAACACCATTAAAAAACAATAATTATTCATTTTCAGATACTGATAGGTATGTTTTTAAACCTCAAATATTTTATTTTTAGAAAATATTAACTGATGATAAACTTTGCCATGAGCCAGAACTTACATTTTAACCAAAAATAAAAAGAGAGTACAAGTCAGCAAAAGATACTCAGGATTTTGAAAATATCAAAAAGACATGTCGAGTGTCTAATTAATCACAAAGTTTCACTGAGCAAAACCCAGGTGTTTAAACAGCAATAGGTATACTAGGCACATTTGTGAAGAAGCTTTATCTCATTGATAGAAGGAGATACAGAAAAGATTATAGGGAACTATGAAGTGATTTACAGCAGTGCAGGATAAGGCAGGATTGGCCCTAACTAATAATAATTAGCAAACTCTGGACACGGGAGTTGGAATTGAGTCAGAATTTGAATAATGGGTAAGATTCAAATTGCCAATGAAAAGTGCTCTGTTAAGCCCTGGCTGGCGTAGCTCAGTGGATTGAGTGTGGGCTGCGAACCAAAGTGTTGCAGGTTCGATACCCAGTCAGGCCACATACCTGGGTTGTAGGCCATGGCCCCCAGCAACCGCACATTGATGTTTCTCTCTCTCTCTCTTTCTCCCTCCCTTCCCTCTCTAAAAATAAATAAATAAAATCTTAAAAAAAAAGAGAAAAGTGCTGTTAAAGGTATGAATATGGAAATAAACATAATATATATTTATTCTAACTATGCATTTTCATACTCTTCCTTAAATGTAGAACATTATTATCCATGAAATTGGACAGGAACGTAGAGGCTGTGAACCTTTGAACATCACCTCTGTTTTTATATTAAGAAATACAAGACATGGCACATTCTTGCTGTCGGCTCCCAAATAACCTGAAAGGAGCAAGTTTTAAAATGCTTTCCTGCTTTTTTATCTTTTTGATCATCTTAAGTTTCTTTTACACACAGAAGCTCTCAATGTTTTACTCTCCCCAGGACAATAATTCTGTGCCTGAGTACACTGCTACCATCTTCTTCACACTGAGCATCTGACGACCTCATTCTTTAGGATTCAGTTTCCCTTAACTTTTTAAAAAACTGGACAAATGGAGTACTACTTGTACTTACTGCTATTACATGCGAAGCCTACTACACCTTGTCCTAATTTACCCATGTTTCCTTTGACGCTGCCTGGTAAAATCCCACATCTGTCTTATTTACACCCAGGAGGAGACAGATTCACTCGCTTGTCAACTTAGTGACAAAAAGTTTTGCTTTATTTTGTGCCAGTGAACAGCGTGAACTGCCCAACTCAAACAAGAATGAATTAATTTGAATCTAAACTGCCATTCATTTAGTTGCAAATGTATAACTTCTTGAGATACTAATGGCTCCAGCCCTTTATCCTCTCCAAGAACAAGACTCCTTCCTTGCTTTAGTTTATGGAAGAAGAATGGAAATTTAAAGTATTTACCATTTCCAGTTTCTCTGCCTTAAGGCGGATGGAAGGATTTAAGGAAATCTTCTTTCCATGGGGCCCATGATGACCAGTCCTGGCAGAAGTGGTATCTAAGAGACAACAGGATGTATGTTCATTGGAGATTTAATTGGAATAGAAATTTTCATCTGACAGGATGCGCTCTGAGCTCCTGCTGTTCAAAAAGCATTCTGGTTAATCAGCTGGCAGTTTTCAGTTTTGTTTTCACGGCTTTTTCGTTAAATTTAAAATGCATCATATAAACCAACCTCACTTGAGCCCTAAAAGATACATAAAAAGCATGGCCAATTAGGTGTTAAATCCCACAGAAATATTAATTTAAAAGACAAATATACACCCTACCACGATTATCCTGTCATCACAATGCCTTACTAATCGTAAAATGGAAAGTCTTTTAAAAAAAGTAAGTAAAATCAAACAAGAAATTTAAAAATTTCATGATATTTCTTTGGCTGGCAAAAGTGGTTTTGTTACATGAGTTCTGGAAATACCATAGAAAAACTTGAAAATGCAAATTGTTTCAAGTTTACACATAAACTATAATAATAGACTTGCAATTTCTTGAACTAAAAAAATCCTATTTCTTATTTTATAGAAGGGTTATATTTCAAGTAGTATAAATGGACTTTCAAGAGCACCTTCTCAATCTACCCCGATTATTCAAATAAGCCTTTGTGCCTGCTGCACGAGTAAGATACCAGGTGCTATCGGGACTAGAACTTGAAAAACATAATTTGTTTTAATATGCCAAAGTTATAAAACACACTCCTATAATTCACGTCAATCCTTATAGCGAAATTGTCACTATTCTAAATACACTTTTAAATGATATTTTACTAGTTCTGCATAGAAACAAGAGGAAGAGAAAAAACTTTTTAAAATGTCACATCTTTATGCAGTGTTTTAATTTTTTTAAATTTCTCAGAGCATCTGTCTCTAAGTACAAAATGATTTGCATTCTCTTAAGAACATAAGAAGCGCCTATGAAAATAAATAGTCTTCCTCTAAACCTTTAACACATCGTTAACATTCTATGTAAAATCTTGAACATAGCTTATATGTGTCAAGATAAAAAAAAATGGCTACTGACTTTTAGATTCAAATGGAATCAAACATTGAGAAAGACTGATTTCAGGGTAAGAGAATTTGTACAATACTGATAAAAGCAACAACGTTCCCTTTGTTCTTGTGATACCTAATTGTTGACCCTGGCATTAAAAAGACCACAGGTACTTTTTTTCCCTTCATGCAACTGCAGAACCAGGTTTCTGATCCCCTTGCTTGGTGCCCAGCCAACAAAATGGCTGTAACTTCTCCACTGCAAACCTCGACGTTCGGTGTTTGGCTTCACTGTGCCTCGGGTGGGCAGAACCTTGTCCGAGTCAGTTCAGTTCCATTACCTTAAGCGAAATCCTCTGCCAGACCGAACGTGTGGCATACAAGAGGCGCATGGAGTGGTGTGGTGTGTAAGACCAAGTAGCAGGTACGTCAGACTTCATTTTGCATTTCTAAGGTTTGGACTTGTGAGGCTTGACAATGCTTCAGCCCAGTGCGTGACCTACCTACCGTGAAGGCACACTACCACTGGGTAGACCCAAGCTAAGCTAATTATGGTGTCAGACCAAGACAAACCCTGGCTGTGAATACTCAGTTCAAGTTTAACTACTGGCTGGGAGAGGGGCTGAGAGTGCGAGAGGTCGGGAAGAGAGAGGGAGGCACAGGGACACACACACTCAGGCATGCATCCCCCTTATGTTTTCCTGTGTCTGAGCTTAAAAAGTTTCTGTGTAACAGTAGCAATGACACAAGATAAGCTCTTATTTATGCTTACTTTTAGCCAGGCAGTACAGTGAGTACTTTAAGTCAAGTGCTCATTAATCTTTAAAATAACCACAATGCCATAGGTGTTACCATTCCCATCCTACAGAAGAGACCGACTAAGGTCCGCAAGGTGACTAGTAGGTGACCATGTTAGGGTTCTCCTTCCTTGTGACTCCCCAAGCCAGTGTTCTCAAGTACATCAATATCCTTCACTGTCAGTTTTCTCTTCTGTACAGTAGGAAGAACAAAACGGACCAACTTGCAGGAATTGTAAAGGTAAAATCAAAATCAGAGAAAACTACTATGAATATTAACACAGAGACATTGCATTGAAATAGGAGATTTAATGTAAAATTATACTAACCCTCTATTTAATAACATGCATCATGGCTTAACACAATCTCACTTTCTTTTTGCCAACCTTCCCCCACACACTGATTTACTTTCGAGGCGGAACCTGAGGCGGGTCTGTGCAGAAGTCCAGCGTGTTTCTGCAGTTCCGGGCCCGACCTGAAAAGCCCCTCGAGGACAGACAGCCCCTCTTCCGCCTGTGGCATGTCTCAGTTTCAGCCGCAAACTATTTATTTGCTCTTCTCTGAGGGAGTGAGACTTTTCAAAGGATTGCTGATTATTCTCCTAAATCTTCTCTCCTATTTGTCTTTTCGGGAGCAGAAGGGAATGTTTTATATGGGTAGGATCAACACCATTTGATTCACACTATGACCCCCCCACTACTCCCCCTATCACTCTTTTCCCCTATCACTACTTTGTTTCAGTTACAAAAGGCTTAGAGCAGGAGAATTAAGGCTTGTTATGCTAAAGTTAGTTATAATAGTATTTCATTTTTTTACTTGCAATTTTATTGTATGTTTGTTTGCTTTTAATTTAATTTATTGGGATGACACTGGCTAATACAATTAGATTGTATTCTAATTGTAGAATACAATTCTACAATTGTATAGAATTGTACAATATAGTACAATATATAGATTCTAGAGATATAATTCTACAACATATCATCTGCATATTGTATTTGTGTTCACCACCGAAAGTCAAGTTTCCTTCTACCACTATTTATCTCTGTTTTACCCCCTCCTACCTCTCCTACCCCGTTTCTCTCTGGTAATCCCCATACTGTTGTCTATGAGGAATTTTTGTTTGTTTGTTTGTTTGTTCAATCTGTTTCTGTTTTGTTAGTTTATTTTGCTCATTAGATTCTACACACAAGTGAAATCATGTGGTATTTCTCTTTCTCTGACTGGCTTATTTCACTCAGCACAAAATACTCCACGTCCATCCATGCTGCCACAAAAAGTAAGATTTCCTCCCTTTTCGTGGCTATGTAGTATTCCAGTGTGTAAATAAATGCACCACAGCTTTTTTATCCACTCATCTACTGATGGACACCTGGGCTGCTTCCAAATCTTGGCTCAGTACTGTAAATAACTCTGCAGTGAACACAGAGGGTGGATAGTATCTCTTTATGTAATGATCCTTGACTACTTTCCTTAGTAATGTCTTTAGTATGCTTTTAACTCACAAGGTCACGTGTTATTCAGGTGATGGCAACAGTGAACGACTCTGGATTCTGAAATAAGATTATATAATAGAACAGTTTTAAAGACAAATCCAAGTATTATGTGGATTTAAAGAATCCTAACCAGTTTTATACTTTGGAATGACTTTGAGATGGAAACTGGGATAGACTTGCCTCGTTAACGTTATTTTTGTTGGGGTTAACATTAGAACTCATTTACATTATTTGAATAAATACCAACTGGCTGAATGAGGCAAGGTGTCATGGTTAAGGACCTAATTCGTGAACAGTCTATAATTAAGCACTGATAACGGACACATCACAATGTATGTAAGTTACTATCGACAATTTAGGGTTGATTTTGCTTTGTTCCCCTGGAAACATCTGGCCCACTATGTGGGAGTAAGATAGTGGGACTAAGTCAGTGCTCTTTTTGCCCCAGGAAAATGTTCTATTTCAATGGCATTTTACTACTCACTTCATATACAGCTCTGTCACGCAAATATACTTTCCATTGAATTGTGTGTCTATTGTAAAGCCTAGCATTGTTTCTTACAGTCACTGATGTAAACTTGTTTTCTCATTACTCCGGGATCCCTCTGCTTCATTCAGATCTGCTTCAGAGGGTCACCTGACTTCCAGCTCAGCCTTAGTTCCTCGCTTCTGCTCACAGTGCTTCTTCACTTAGGATGGCTCCCTACCTTCATCTGTCCACTGAGGCTTACCACCTCCCTCAAGATCTGAATTTTATGTGACTTTTGCCAAGAAATTCTGTCTATTGTGTGACCAATTCCCTAGTTTTAGAGCTAGAAGGGAATAGGCAAAATTGAAATAAAGGATAAAAACTTCCACTCCTGCTCTAAAAACAGGCCCTGGGATATTACCTGAGCTACATTCTAGTCTGCAGATTCTGTAATATTAATAATAACAGCAAAATTTGCTGAGCTTGTACTATGTACCAATTACAATGCTAAGTGGTTGACATGTATGATCTTGTTTAATACTCATAACAACCCCATGAGGCAACTATTTCAACGTTGTATAGCTAGTGAGTTGGGAGCAAAGATTTGAACCTCTAAGGGAGACAGGGTTGGGCAACACTGGATTCCATCTTGACCCCTGAGAGGCCTGACTCTGACTCCTTGCCTTCCAGAATATTCTGCAGTTGAAATGAACCTAACCGCATCCTTAAAAGAATGTATGACGATAATACCCTTTCGTAACCTCACGTTCTACAAAACAGCTGTTTTCTCATGAAATTTTAACTAGAATAGTCGTGCAAGAATCATTTTACAGGCCCTCTGAGTGGTCCACTGACCGCGGAAAACACCTCGTGACGACCCTGGACCAACCGCCACTAGACGATGGTCAAGTGCAGCTGGACTCATCCTCCTTCCTGAGCCCCGCACCCACGCCAAGTGCCCTAGATAAACCGTCCACAAGAACCCTCCGGGGACCTCAGCTTCTCCTTTCTGGTCAGCTCCCTTGTGCACAAGCTCTTTTTAATAAACTCTGTCTGCTTGATGTTGTTCTGAGTTCGGTGCTCTTTTCTGTGACATTGAGACTCAAGAACCTGGCATTCGAAGCCCGGTAACATGCTTGTATCCAGAGCCTGGTGATAAACCACGTCCTGCATCACTCAGGCCACTGATCATTGCCTTCTTTCTTTAGGCCACTTTGTTCGTGGCTTTACGCTATTTGTTCGAGTGTGTAATTCATCCACAAGAGAGTATAGTACACTCCTTAGAGTCCTAAAACCACCCCTACCCTCTCTACTTTAACACGGAATACCGCAAATAGTGGTTATTCGGTAAGATAAACACACACATACACATTTCTTTCTCTAATCTGAATGATGAAGGCTTTTAATCTCATGTTTTGTTTCACAATATATTATTAAATATCTCATGGGAAATGTCCTAATTCCTTCATAATTCCTACTGTAGTATGTTTTCTACATAAGACATACTCAGTAAGTGCTTACCAAATGAATAGAAGGCCAATGTGAGCACTGAGCAGTTCAATTACTTTCAAAATTAAAAATATGTTACATAAATGTCTCCTCACCAGTGTCTGGTTCTTTATCTCTTTTTTCTCACATGGAGTTACAGTTTAATATAAAAACAATATATCAAGAGAATGAAAATTGCCCTGGCTGGTGTAGCTCAGTGGATTGAGCGTGGGCTGCGAAACAAAGTGTTGCAGGTTTGATTCCCATTCAGGGTACATGCCTGAGTTGCAGGCTATGACCCCCAGCAACTGCACATTGATGTTTCTCTCTCTCTTTCTCCCTCCCTTCCCTCTCTGAAAATAAATAAATAAAATCTTTAAAAAAAAAGAAAAAAAAAAGAGAATGAAAATTATTTGTATTAAGGGAACAAACTAAAAAAATTTCTAAGAGTCAACAAATCCCACTAAGTAAAAAGAAGGTTTACATTTGTGAGTATGCAAAACAGAGGTTATCCGTGTATTATTATAATTAATTAATATATAGCTATACAAACAACTATAAACTTACTTTTGTCCTACCTTGTATATTTTTTGACTGTTGTGTCTAACTTTTGGAGATAATTTAAGGGGAAGGATTTTTCTTCATATTTGGGCAATATACACTTCACGGCTTGACAAAAATCCTTTTCTTATGGGTAGTTTACACAATCTTTTATTATTTAAACAGTCAATAAATCACTTCATGGTCGTGAAAAACCAATTATATTGAATTCACAATACTGTTCTTTTTAATTTATATAATCACTTCTAAAAAAATTTCTTTCCTTAAGCTATAATCCGTTCTGTAATTTCTCTAAAAAGTGCATTTAATACACCTTACTAATATTTCACTTAAAGGCTGAGGTAACCCAATCTTGATTTATAAATGAGTTTTCATTACATGGTTTCAACAGTTCGTTGGTTATTACAACTTCACAGACCCTGTTATGACAATGCATCTTTGAAAATTTAAACCCTTTGTTCAGGGAAATTTTCAATAGAAGTCATTTCTAACAGGGACCACTGCACAAGGCATTCATTTTGCTTTTATTCTTTAAAGGAAAAAAGACTTAATGCATCCTTTTTTAAAGTCTATTGGGTCACTTTATATATTCCTCATTGAGAGAGAGTAGTTGAAAAAAAAAATAGGAAAGAGGAATCAAATGTGCATTGACCTGTATTAGGTATATCCGTAGAGCTGGGGTCCAAAGAAGTAATTGGAGTCTGTTCTGTTTTCTTGTATCCAGTTTTTAACTACGAAAGAAAATGAGGAATAGGAAATGTCACTTTCTAAAGTAGGTCAAAGACCAGACTAGAAGCTCATGCTAACATAAAAAGGACAGTTAAAGTTGTTAAAGCAATAGTCAAGAAAAAAAACAAAACATAAAATCTCTAAAAATTTGGTATATTCATCCTCAAACAAAGCAATTCAGGATTGAAGGTAATGACTGCTTTCAGCTCTACCGTACAAGGACAACAAAATATAAGGCCCTCTACCTTGACTTCGAAAAGGTTAATCACAGTATAACCACACAAATTAAAAAGTATAAGGGGCTGACAGAAAATCTTCCCCTTTGTATCTGATTAGCATATATATGAAATCACTTATACTCCACTTACTGAAAGCCTACCTGAATATCACATTTTACTTTATAGCTAACAAAAATTTTAAAGAATATATACCCTATTTTATAACTTTGAGTACTGTAGCAACTAGTTATTGACTGTATTTATTTTGATGTAGAAACCCCCGCCTTTTGCATGGGTCTGCAGGGAGAACTGGACTCCAGCACACACGTGAGGTGAGGAGCAGAGCCCCCCACACCGGGTGACGCAGGTGGGCCTCACCACGCGGAAGAGGAGCTAAGGGGCACACAGAACACTCCTGTCTTCGGTCAGGCAGAAACGGAAGTAATTAAGAACTGAGCCATAACGAAGGCTGTCTGAAAATAAAAATGCCATTCCTGACACAGTTTGGCGTGATAGCTAGGCATATCTTTGTGACGCCATTCCTGATCATGGTTTTCTGAGAAAAAAGACACACTGACCTGAAAAAAATTATATTTATTGACACCATAGCATAAAAATCTTAAAAAAAAAAATAAAAGATTTTTCAAGGGTAGTACAGCTTGCTAGCAGACTGGTCTATAATTATAAATTATAATTCTATAGGTATATAACAAATATAAAAACATGACTGCTTAAGTAAACAGAAATTTAAGATTACCTGATTTACCTGAAAAGAAGGTAAAATAGCATCTGTAGTTTTGGGAGTGGATGTGGTGTTTGGAATTGGTATTTCTGGCGAAGAAGAAAGAAGGCTAAATGTCGAGGCTTGTGGTCCACATTCTCCTGAAGTCGGTAAAAGGAATGTACCCGATGGGTTTTCTGGACCACTGCTGTCAGAATGTTGTCGTATGAATGCTATCTCCCAGGCAGATTCTGACCTAGCATTAAAAAGAAATCACTTTATGAATATATTATTGATGTAGTACAACTGGACTCTAAGATAATGTTTCATACATTACTTAAAAATATTTCTTTTATGGTCTAAAGTACTTAAGTCATCTTAAATTACTATTTTAAGGGGACGTGCTACATGACTCATTTTATCCTATGGATAGAATGGTTACCTCAGCTTGGCTCTGGTAATTATGCTTTTGGCTTCTTCGAATGACACGCCAATCATAGATTCCTTGTTTATTGAGACAAGTTGATCTCCCGGCTTCAAACGTCCATCCTAATAAAAATAATAACACTCATAAAGAAACTAATGAGGATTTAAAAAAAATAACATACACTTAAAGCAAATTTTTACTAAAGAATGTCTTAAAGAAAGAGTATGAAAAAAAAACCCTGCACAAAGAATCTCAATAAAAAAATAGTTTTGATTAAAGCCTAGTTTGCTAATATATGTGATGAGGAGGAATGCTTCATGTATACCTTGAATGAACTTGCACATTAAGGAACCCTGAACGTTTGAAAACATAACCTGGCTGGACTTCCGGCAAGATGGAGGAATAGGTGGACGCACCGTACCTCCTCGCACAACCAAGATTAGAACAACAATAATTTACAGATAAAATAACACCCAGAACCGACAGAGGATTTATCTGAATGGAAGTCGGACAGCCAAGAAGTTGAAGTAGACCCGTACATCCAGACTGGTAGGGGACGACGAACCGGGCAGGCGCGGGGCTGGCACGGGTCGGCGGCGCATGGAGGTCGGGGGAAATTTGGCGTGGGGTCGGTGCGACAGCCATCCGGGGCGCAAGAACGCAGCAGTGATCCCTGAGTGCGTAAGCTGCGGCGGGCGGACCCAGTGAGACAGCGATTGTGGACCAGGGCAGCAGAGCTCGCAGCCCAGGATCCCAGAGAAGGGTCTGAGCCCAGGAGAACGGAACTACCGCCATTGTTCCCTCCTGTCCCCACTCCCGCCCCCGCCCCCACATATAACGTCACAATCTAGTGACTGGGGTGACCAGCCCCAGTGAACACCTAAGGCTCCGCCCCCCACCGTAATAAGAGTGAGCAGGGGGGAAAAAAAAGGAGACACAGGGAAAGACATGTTTCCAACAGAACAGATCAGTCCCCCAGGACTCATCCTTTTGAGCGACTAAGAAATAGCCAATCTATCAGATGCACAGTTCAAAACACTGGTGATCAGAAAGCTCACAGAATTGGCTGATTTTGGGCGCAATTTAGATGAAAGGATGCATGTTACCATAAAAGAGATGCAGCAAGATATGTGGAGGAGAGCCAATAGTGAAAGGAAGGAATCTGAGTCTCAAAACAATACAGTGGACCAGAAGGAAGATAGAATCAACCAAGCAGGAAAGCATGATGAAATAAGAATTCAAAAAATCAAGGAAAAGCTTAAGAGCATCCAGGACACCTTTAAACGTTCCAACATTCGAATTATAGGGGTACCAGAATGGGAAGGGGAAAAGCAACAAATTGAGCACGTATTTGAACAAATAATAAAGGAGAACTTCCCCAATCTGGCAAAGGGAACAGTCTTCCAAGAAATCCAAGAAGCTCAGAGAGCCCCAAAGAAGTTGGACCCAAGAAGAAACACATGAAGGCACATCATAATTACATTAGCCAAGGTAAAAATGAAGGAGAGAATCCTAGAAGCAGCAAGAGATAAGGGGACAGTAACCTACAAAGGAGTTCCCATCAGACTGTCAGCTGATTTCTCAAAAGAGACCTTACAGGCAAGAAGGGGCTGGAAAGAAATATTCCAAGTCACGAAAGACAAGGACCTACATCCCAGATTGCTCTATCCAGCAAAGCTCTCATTTAGAATAGAAGGGCAGATAAAGTGCTTTTCAGATAAGGTCAAGTTAAAGGAGTTCATCATCACCAAGCCCTTATTTTATGAAATGCTAAAGGGACTTATCTAAGAAAAGAAGATAAAGAAAAGACATGTATAGTAAAAGGACAGCAAACTCACAATTATTAACAACCACACCTAAAGCAAAACCAAAAGAAACTAAGTAAACAATTAGAACAGGAACAGAACCACAGAAATGGAGGGCACATGGAGGGTTAGCAGCAGGGGGGTGGGAGGAGGAGAGGGGGAAAAGGTATAGAGAATAAGTAGCATAGAATGTAGGTTGAAAATAGATAGGAGGAAGGCAAGAATAGTACGGGAAATGTAGAAGCTAAAGAACTCATAAGTATGACACATGGACATGAACTAAAGGGGGGAAATGTGGGTGGGAGAGGGGGTACAGGGTGGAGGGGAGAGAAGGGGGGAAATGGGACAACTGTAATAGCATAATCAATAAAATATATTTTAAAAAAAGAAAACATAACCTGGTACACAAGGAGAAGAGACCTGCTGTAAAACCCTGATACCATGAGACAAGTACAGCTCTGGCTCTGTCACAAAGCGGGCCAAAGAATCCCAGAATATTTCAGAATACAAGACTCATCCACTTTAGTTTCTGAGCAATCCTACATCTTTCATCTCACCAAACCATCAAGATTTATTCCACAGGATGAATTTTTAAAAATTCAGCCCAGGATCTTAACTATATTAGTGCTACCCACATTTCAGCTCATGGTCGAACACTTCTACTGGATCTCCTCTCTCTCCTGTGACTCAGGACTAACTGGCGGTGCATGCGGCTTTAGTCATGTTCTACTGAAAGGCCGCTTCTAACAGGCTGTCTGGCACTATCTTGGTTAAGTCCAAGCTCTGCCTCTGACCAACCTAACTCAGTAAGTCAGAGCACATGAGTTACAAGATTTACTGTAATTGTGAGGCAAATTTCTCAGTCTCTACCTGTATTTTCTCTTAACTCAGACTGGAAAAGAAGAATGAGTCCTCTTTGTTTTCAGTTCCCAAGATACATCTCAAAGTATCATTTGTACAAGGACAGGAAGCATTCTTTAAATAACTGAGGAAGAAGCTTATATGGCTAAAAGGCCAGATTTTCACCCTGATGGCATTTGAGTAAATTCCACACTTCAAGGAAATGCCTTTCTTCAAAGTCTTATCTAAGATATATTGCTTAGGTAGCTGGTCTTTGATCTGAATTGCATTACATATAATAATGGCAACTTATGGTTACTTTACTGCTAAATAACAAGTTATTTTTGTTCTTTAAAATGATATCTAATGCCACTTCTTACACTGAATACGGAGAACATACAAAGCAATTAAATAAATATATAGTTTTTATCAAAAAATGTTGTGGAAACATGTTATCTCAAATATTGTATATAAAAGATATAAATAAATGCATAATTACCCTATGATCCTTTTGAATTATAAACATATACAAAATTAAACCATAAAAATGCAATTTAATTTAGTAATATATAAAACTTGAAAACTGCCCTGGCTGGCGTAGCTCAGTGGATTGAGCGCGGGCTGCGAACCAAGTGTTGCAGGTTCGATTCCCAGTCAGGGCACATGACTGGGTTGCAGGCCATGACCCCCAGCAACCGCACATTGTTGTTTCTCTCTCTCTCTCTTTCTCCCACCATTTCTTCTCTAAAAATAAATAAATAAAATCTTTTAAAAAACTTGAAAACTAATTTGGATTTTATAAATATATGATTAACATAGGATTAATGCTAACTAGTGAAGTCGGAGATCATAACACAGAATTGCTATACTAACAAATGATTTTTTTTCTCCTTCCATCTGATTGATGTGTGGGGAGTACAACACAAAAGTAATGTTGGAAAGGCTAAGCGATATAGAGAAAGAATTTACAACATGGATTCCACACGTTCAGTAAAATGAAAGAGTTGATTTTGTACGATTTTACAGACACAGTTCACTATTTCTGGGCCCAAATCATATTACAGAGTTTGGTTACACATGCATTTAAATTAAAGTATACCCAAACTATACCTAGACACTTATTTACATTAGCATGCAATTTAATATGCCTAATTGGAGTTTGAGGACAGCCATTCATTCTCTCAAGGTTAAGGTGAAATGATAACAAACAAGAAGAACCACCTTTTAGCCATAGGCAAAAAAAAAAAAAAAAGAAGGCTAATAAACGTTAGGGAAGGATAAAACATTCTGGAGTGCTTATTTCCGGGAGGGAGGGTGGAGACTGGGATCTGGGGAGGCACACAGGAAGCTGCCACAGCACCCAGCTTTCTGCTCCTTGAGTCAAGTGGTGATCTCTGAGTAGAGTCACAGGTGTCCCTTTTATTGTTATGCTTCATACATTAGATAGGTTTCCCAATAACCTTTCGTATGCATCAAATATTACCTTATAAAAAAGAATATAAATCCTCCATCCCCCCAAAATAAACAGAAAGCTCATGTCATTTGCCCAACTTCATGCCCAACCAGCTACGTTCTATTTGGGTTCTATCCCAAACCTGGTATTCAAAGTAAAGGTCAAATACAGAAGTTTTAATCTAATTTTAAAGTAAATTAATTAACTAATAAAATTAAATGCATATTATTTTTAAATCCATACGGAGAAGGAAGGACCCCCCCCAAAAAAAACCTGGAATTACCTTCTGGAGGGCAGGCCCCTTGTAGTACAGGCTTTCCTCACTAGGTGAGTGTTCTAGGAACCCATCTGTATCCAGTGTACCAGCTGGTGGTGTTGTTAGAGGCTGTGTTTGACTACAGTGCACTTTTTTTTTTTGAAGACTCAACACATTTGCCTATTTCATGATGGGTGACTTACAAGTATACCTGCCTACACCACACTGAGTGCTTAGAAGTTTTGGATCAAAAATGGCATGACCCCTGTGTCCCACCCTCCCTATTCACCTGATCTTGCCTTGAGTGACTTTTTTTTTGTTCCCTGGATTGAAAACAATCCTCAAAGGGAAATGTTTTGCTGATGTAGAAGAAGTGAAACAACAAATGGCAGAGGCAGTAAAAGCCATTAAAACTGACATGTTCAAAAACTGTTTTGAGCAGTGGAAAAATACCTCGATAGGTGTATTGCATCAAATGGAGTGTAGTTTGACAGTGACTGAAATTTAAACATGTAGGGATAAATACAATTTTTAATCAATAAATTACAGGGGTATTTTTGGGGTCCCCCCTCATAGACTTGTATCCCAAAGCCTGGCAACAATGTAGGGGGGAAAGGAGAAAAATAAAGAAAGCCCTCCTTCATTGGAGCAAATCATTTAAAAGTCACTGATGAGAAAAGAAAGGTCCTTTTAGAAATGGGGTGGTAGGTATTAATTATTAGGTTACCTTGTGTTAATTGTTGGTATTAACAGTTCCTTCTATTAAAC